TGTTTTTCAGTGATTCAACTCATTCAGTTTATGTTTAATGTTATGAATTCTCAAAATATTTGTTAAACTCAGTCACGGGATGTGCGCATGCAACAGTCAATTACATGTCAATAAAATTTTCTAGTGGAATTCAGATGTGTTTATTGGTTAGCTGTTGTCTCCATATATGTATAATGTACACGCTTAAGTTTATATTTTGTTGTTCGGCATACTTAAGGCTGTTTAATTTTGTAAATTTCTACAAATAAATAAACTCTTGAGAAGAACTACATTGATCTTTAGATTGTTTTTAAGTATATGAGGGTTTTATAATAACAATTAACTGTTACACAGAACTAACGTCACACATACATAATTCATTAAGAGAAAAAATTATGCAATGCTTTCAAAGATAGACAGAAACATGGAACATAAGGAGCTGATTATCTTGTGGTATATGCATTGGAACATCTCTGCATATAATAAGTAGGATTTACTGAAATAGATATGTCAAATTTTGTATGAGGAAGTTGATGGCATAAAGATGCAGTCGCTTTTGATTCCTATGTTCGCAAGTATCTCCCTTGCACAATTTCAAAATGGTTTCCTTTATTATACTCTAGAAAAGCCTAATATCAGTACCGATATGTAAATGACATGTTCATAGTCTGCAATAAGGCAATGTAAAATAGATAGCTTAAGAACATGTCCAGTAATGTCTATCAGTCTGCGCAGTTCACCTGTGAAGAAGAATAGGGAGACAGGAAATCATTTTTAAGTACCCTCCTCATGACAGTCTCTTATACTACGGGAGAATATTTTTTTTAAAAAAAACATTTGTATTTTTCTCCACTGCCTTCATATCAATCCGGTACAAAAGAAACCCTGTTATAGTCATCAAATTAAATATTTGTTCTGACTTCTTTCTGCGGAATTAAATTTGAGAACTAAAAAATGCATTGGAACAGAATCAATGCTTAGAAATGCTTAGAAATGCTTAAAAATAAATCCAGAGAGAAGGTAATTTTAGCCACTGTCGAAAGGGAAACTTTATATACGAAGTTAGGTTTTAAAAGTGAAATAATAAGAAATATTCTAACATGTTTTTCAAACAGAACTATTCCAAAGCCATTCATTGTTATTATTTAATACTTCAGTCTTTCGACAAAGCCAATGACAACACAGAGAATCGGTTGGAAACTAAAATGACCTCATCAACTTGTGGATGTGAGCCATACTAGTATAATAGACTGCACATAGAAGACATTATCCATGCACTGTTATGGTGCCACCCCAGCATGGTTAGAAAAAGAAGTAAATAAGTTCGTGAAACGTATTGTCTTATTTGATGTAGTTGATAGCATACATAAAATTAAGGTAAACCAGGTTTTCACAGGGAAGTTTTGGTCCTGTAAAATTTGCCTTGAGTTACTCAATAGTATCCTACATATATCAGAAGTCATAGGAAACAGTTTACAAAATCTTAGCACGCCCTTCCAAAATAAATATTTAGTGAAACTTTGTTTATACTGGCTTGCTTAATGAACATTGAGGGTCTCGATCCATTACTATTTGGTTTCTGCATTTATAGAACATTATTTCATTCGTAATTAATTATATGCACTTCAACAACATTACTTTCACATTGACCTGCATCATTACTCTACATAACACATGATTTTTACCCCACCAACCACAGTTCGTCATTTCATTATGTTGCTTTTCACTTGGATATATACACATGAGATGCCTCATACAGCAAACCCTCGAATAACATAAAATTGTCGTTGTTTGATATACTCCACTTTGAAGGATAAGTTGTCAAGACTGACGGGTTCAATGTGTGTTTTTCACTTCACCTGCTCCTGTGGAGCTGGGTATGTAGGACATTCACCTAGACCTAGCCTTCACTGCATTTAGGAACATTACTTAGTATGACTTAGTAAAGATTAAAGAAGATCAGTAAACTCATCTCTTTTGCAGCATATTATCGATAAGGAACATTCAGATTTGAACACCTCATTTGACATTATTTACAGGATTTAAACAAATTTTCCTAAACTTTTACGCTTCTTCTTGCTATATATTGTAGAAGCCTTGAGAATTCTTAGTTTGAAGCCACAGCTACAGATTCACAAACAATTTGCCAAATCTCTTTCGTTACTATGGTCCTTACGTGGTTCTCTAATCAAGCTACTGAATATTTTGACGCTGATTGCCTTCATGTCAAGTTACCTCATATGTTTCCGGCTTTAGTTTATTTTAGATTTACTTTCTTCACAATATTATCATTGTTTCCCTTCGATATACTTCCCATGGTTACCGCGCTTTTCAGATGAATTTAGTTCAGACCTGTCCTAATAGAATACTGTTATTAAGTGCTATCATATTCCCTTAAATTCATGAATGACACCGATATCACAATTAGCGCCCACATTTTCCCACTTATTGCTGAATATTTTGCAAATTTTCTCATAATGATAAAACCGTTTATTGACTTTAAACACAACCCTTTATCATTGAAAAAACACAATGAATGAAGAATGAAAATATATATATGAATGTAGTTGTACAGCTTTCGGAATTAAATTCATTGACTACGTTTGTGCTTCAGTCAACTAGCGAGCATCCGCAAACGAAAACAACTCTTCTTTATTTACATTAGTGTATAACTTTGCATAATCAACCTTTTTTCATGAATATAAATAATGTTGTTTGTTGACATAAATTGGCTGGTTTTTCTCAGGAACAAGTTTCAAAATATTATTCTAATTTATCCTAAAACTTTATTTTTTAGTCAAACCAGACAAAAAACCAACGTATTTACTAGCAACTAGTTATTTTGTCATGACAAACAGTGACTTGACGGAAAACACAGTTTTTCAATCGTAGCGATTTTAAATAAGTTTCACAAAGTACAATGACTGATTTCGTTTGAATATTGATAGGATGAGACCAAGAATTATCACTTAAAGTAGATGTAAGTAGTATTTATCCTTCTGTTTACATAAAACAGATTTTTTTATGATATTAATGCCAGTCTGTCCGACAGTTTAAGACATACAACATCAATAGGTGTAAGAAAAGTTTGCATGCCAGAGGGTAGAATGGAGCCTAAGGTATTGGAAAGAAACTGTGCTTGAAACTCTTAAAAGCAGAAAATCTTGATCATCTCCACAATTACCAACTGGTTCTCTTCAGATAGCATCACCCGCTTCTATTATAGGTCATTCAGGAAAATTTAAATCTGTGGAACCGTACTGTCAGCCAACCATAGAATCTCAGAAGGATAATCAGACAATGAGGAACATAAAACTCTGGGTGAAATGCAATGATAACTTGACGCAATTCTTCAAATAAATACTTTCCACAGTATAGATTAGTAGTCAAAGTGAATTCGAACTGTAGTCTCAATCAAAACCTCAAGGTGGCAGCAAATTTATATGCATATCAATGACATCCCATCAGATCGGTAGTGAAGCTTGGCCCAGCTTTCCTTCCACTTTTGATTGATTCAGAAGTTCACTGCTTACATGCATCCGCATATTAACAAGTGGTATCGAGCAAATAAAATATAATCAACTAAATTTTGACCTGGTTCCATTTCGGACAACGATTTTCATCTGTATTTCATCCAACTTTTTAACACGTAGAAGTGGTACAACAAATGTTAGCATACATAGGAACTGGTCATCAACTAAAAAGGTTATAAAATCCTTGAATATATATAAATAAATAAGGAGGCTAGCCTTGGTTAGATATTACTTTGTAGATTATTTCACTAAATAATTTTCGTTTAGCGCTTTTTAAGTCACGAACTGTTAGCAAGACTATAAACATGTAGGCAATGAGATGTGACTAAAGACATGAATACAAACATATGGGATGAAATCACAAATCTTAGGATTTTTAATGAAAGCTACAACAATATTAGCTTGAATGTGCTCTGTAGGATGGTGCATTTCGTGGATGACAATCAGTAACTAGAATCTGTCGGATGAACCAACTTCTGTATATACTGTGTTGACATTTTAGCAGATATGCTTTTCACTTCCTATGGCAATGATATGGCACCAACTGAATCATGTAAAGTATGTACCTAAAGACTCTTCTTATGCAAAACCCTTATAAATTATCCGAAATACTCTGTATCTCTTACAGTAGTTAGTCACCATGAAAAGTAAATCTGATGGATCAATGAATAGAAAAATTAAGGGCAAAGATCAATAAGAACTCATTACTGTTGGTGGCCTTTTCTGATGAATTTCAGATTTTAGAGTACCGGTGCTGAGACTGACAAGCAGTGAGTTTATCTAAAAAGGAATCCATGGTTATAGATGTCTCTTAAAAATCGAAAATTGACAGTTAGTAAGTCAGCACTATGTCACTAACCTAATGCTCAACTTTCTCAACAATCCAGCTCAGAGAACACACTATCAAAATTATCCTCCTGAGCTGAAAATATTCTTTATCATACTTAGACTTTCAAAGCAGGAAATAACTGTTGTTATAGTGACTCATCGCCAGCACAAAGATATTAATATTTTCAAATTCAGCTGTCATACAAAATGTTTAGCACTAAAAGGCATAGGACAAAATAGAGGAAGAAACAATGTAATCTAACTTCGTTCGTGTGTGATGCATCTGAAGACAAATTTCCAGATAGGTAAAGTGAAGCAGAAGTCTGTCGATTTTAGAGATTATTTATCAGTGGGCTCAAATGTGAATATCTGTAGAAATTTGTATGAAAGTCCACTCAGCATATGGTACTTACTTAGTAAATCTAAGAAATGCCGAGCCAATACCTGCTCAGTCAATCGGTCAACAGGCCAGTTAGTACTTTGAACAACCACTTATTTTCCATAGTTCCAAATAAATAGAATGATTACTGTTATCACGTGGCAAATATTTTCTTTGTTCTCATCCTTTTCATAAACAGTTGTAATTTCTTGACCAACCAAAATAGGGAAGTAAATAGTATATATAGAAGGAAACTGTATATGTCAATAACGTCTATAATATTTTGTTCTCAGTAATATGCATTTTGGATTAACGCAGCGTGAACTGGTTCAGTACACACAAGAAGCACAACCAAATGTTCTGAAGCCTGGTGTCATAAATGAAGTGGTGAAAGTATTAGTGAGACATTATGAGGTCAGTTCAGACGAGTTATTTAGTATTTAGTTACTATGAGAGTAGTTCTCAGTAAAAGTTTATGTGATCTAGGCAGATATTTATTTAACTTTATGGCACATAAAAAGCATGTCCAATCATACTATTACAAAATGGGTAGAAACAACTTTATGATGTCTATCGCCATGGAACCCATAACTATCGTGATTTAAGCCATCTCCATCAATACCTTCTTCAATCTCACAGTTGTTCATGTGACATTCAATTATGACATGAAGCATCTTTAGATCACTGGGAAATTTACAACCAGTTACTCGGAATGACTGGTCATAGAATGAAGGTTGAAGCAACAGAAACGCAAATGCATAACACTTATTCATCCTAACTTCTTTACCGTACAGTGATTAAGTAAAGATGGGAAGACAGGTTTACAAGAGGAGAGTTTCATCATATTATTTACTCCTAGTGGAAAGGTTTAATAAAATACTTCCATTGCTATCATTACTATTACGTTTACCATTGCTTAAGACGTTGGGTTCCACAAAATTAAATGAGTATGACTTCGAAATGCTCTTATACGTTTTTCAGAATTTTCTTTAAGGTTGCACAATAAACTTTAGCGAGTATCATCATTTATTGTCATGAACTTAGCAGATTTCAATAAACTTTTTTATACGAAGTTCGGTGTTTGGTTTTCACTCATGTGCCTTATCTTCCTTTATGCTCATTCTTTTCATAGATAATTAAAACAGATGTCATTTATTCATGATTCGGCTTCATTTTCCTACACAAATAAAATACATTCTCAATAATTTTTCAGGACAAACTTTCAGTTCACACAATAATACAGTCGTTATCTGCATCATTATCTTCATATACAATACTGGCTGATTCCAGACAATCTAAATTAGTGTAAATAAACTATATATGTAAAGCCAACAATACTGACCTGCAATTTTAATTGACAGAGTGAGTAAACAGGTGACAGAACACTATGGTTTAGTTCAAATGTGGTTCAGAACCGATGTAATTAGTAGTTGCTACCGCACCGAATCAGTTTTTTCTACTGAGATATTAATACAACGTCATCTGAACGTTTCCTGTCAACCCACATAGTTATGCAAAACATGTAGATTCATTACTGCTAAGAGAAATAGTTAACATAATTTAATTGTATTGGGCGGTGATGGAAGGTGAAATGAAAATTTAGACAGCGGCCTGATTCAAATCAGCCGCCACCGGGTTTCCTGCCAGATCCTCTACCAACTGAGCTATGAGGTCCGACTGCTGACCATATTTCTATATCACTTCAATCACTAAGATTTTTACCCGGCTACTATGTGAATTCGTGATGTGTTACTACCACTTGATCGTATTCAAACTGGCTGTCTAGTCATGACTTCTCATCTCATTCCCAATCCAACTGAACAACAGAGGTAGAGAACTTAGTTAATCTGGCACAAGCATGCCTTATAGGATGCCCATAATGATCGGGTCTGTAAAATGTCAGTTGTCATATATATATATATATATATATATATATATATATATATATATACTGTTTTTTTCGGATACTGTTTCTGATGTCCTACCACCTTTGATATATTTGTCAACTCAGGCTAGTGTTAGCTGTATAGCTATACAAAATTAGTTCATATCATATACCTACTTTACGCAGCTCTACCTGTCCCTTTTGGACTGTGTGTAAGCAAACTTTGACTAAAACCTAATAGTGTCCTTTTCCTCAGTAAGTATATACTCCTTGGCATAATGCGTTTGTGACTCAAGTCGGAACAGTGGCATGATGATAATTTTATCTTCAAATAGTGGTCAGTTTACGGTTGGCCTTTATTAAATTGAATTCGATTTTTAATCTTATTTAGGAACTGATATATACCTTGCCACATGAACTCCAAGCATGATATCAAAAAACTACTTATGATGAATCATGGGTTTCCGAACCTCATCTGCTGGTTCAGTTATATGATTTCAAACTCATGTCTTTACTTTTGAAGTTTTTGAAGCTATGAATTTGATTTTACGATAGATGATGGGCAGAGACCACTCAGAATTCGTCTTTTCATATCTAAATTTAGGGAAGATATTATGGTAAATTAAGACATTTTTCCTATTATTTCAGAGAAGAATAAAATTTCCATGGCTACGATAACGTTTTGTATACCGAGGTCTCCAAACGGCCACTAAGAATTTTCGCTCAAACTTTCACTGGTCATAGGCTCAAATAATTCACCTGATTATTCAACTGTTATTAAAATGATGGTTGCCAGATGACTGAAAAAAGGGCGAAGCTGAAGTCGAAATCATCGTTTGGTTTTTAATATTGCATAATTGTGCCCTTAAGATTTCTTTTCAGCACGAGAAAATTTTTGATCATTTTATTCTTTTTTTAGTTTGGACTCAGATATAACGTGTTTATACTTATGAATCTGGTTGAATAGTTACTATATTTCATGGAATGAATGATACAGAATGTGCTTGTTTATACGAACAATTACAACAAAGCAAAATAGTGTAACTTGCAACTTAAAAATTAGCTGGTTGGGTAAATGTGAATGATATTATGCAAAGAATATTGACAGCATACCTCTATGTCAGCAACGAAACATTCCAAACTGATATTGACTGTAGAGCGAATGCAGCATTTCACGAAATGATATCAAATAACACGTTTTACAACCAACTTTATTATAATCATTTCTTTTAGAAATGTGAAGATGAAAGGATCCAAAATCTAGCTGAAGTTGAACGTAAACGCATAGGAAATCTGGAGGCTGAAACAGAATTGAAACACATACACTTGTGTATAAAGCGTCAGCCTAGAACACCGTGTGAGAAACGGCGCCAGAAGTCTCAGAAACCAAGTACGCACTGGATGGACACCCAAAAACCTGGAATGCATCCTCCACCGAATTCACATAAAAATAAAGTGAGTTACCGATTTGAGTGACAAACAGAAAACGGAAAAGCTAACCCACTGTAAGAGATTTACTTACTACTCAGGTTTGATTTAATCAATAATCCATAAATACGCAATATTGTCTGTTTAATGTTGAAAATATTCTAAGAATTGAGTCACAGTTTTCTTGTGTTAAATCCGATTTTGAGGTAGTTTTATAGATCATTGTATGGGTTCACTTTGGGTTGTAAACAGAACTGGTGATTTTTCAAATCAACCTATTTTACCAATGGGCTAACAACTTTAATTAAAATTTTACCTTTGTCGAAACTTTTAAGCTGAATAAATACGTCGAATAGTCAACGGGAAGTACTTTTTTGGCCAATATCTGTAACAACTATCTGCTATGCACTCTTGCAGAGTCAACGACATAGTTGTCATATATTTCAGACTTAGTTTTGATCTTTCTTGTCAAGAGCTGATTGAGGTGAGTGTTGAATTACAATAAAAAAGAATTTTGAGTACAGTTACCCTATGAGACTGAGACTCAAGCTTTGAAACTGATTAATTTTTCAATATTATGGGAGGGTAGTTCTTATTTGAGTTGTAGAATGTAAGTCTTATTGAAGTTGCTTCACAAACTTTAAACTAAATTTATTAGCAATGGTCCTGCTTATTTCTTTAGTCTGATGTAATATAATCGCTTACATATATTGTCAAAAACCATGAAATAGTCCTTACTTTCTCCACAGGAGCGTGAATTAAGCAGAAAATACTTGGTTATCAGAATTCACCTTCCAACAGACCTGTCATCTAATTCCGTTTTTAATACGGTTTTATTTCGGGATTTTACTGTTTCTCTATACTTTAGCAACACAGTTGAGAGTGAGTGGCTATCCTAGTCTATGCATTAGACTTTGGATTTATTAAAGGGACTTTCAAAGATTCCACCTTGTGGGTTGAATAGTACAATTTGAGCCATAAAGTTTGTCTTAGAGTAACCGAAGTACCACTATATTCTTTGATTTTTGAGAAATTTTATAAGTTTTCTATTTTGTTCTATATTTTATGCAGGTTTTTGAATTATCTCTTGTTGCCACCATAATAATGTATGTACACGAAAATACAGATCCATCTTGAGTTGTATTTTGTTTACAAGGTTCTATAAGTATTTGAAATAACCTGCTGAGATATTTCTAAAAGCTTTGGAATTTATGACTTGTCGTGTTCTGGTTTATTGTTTTAAATGTCTGACCTAAGGTGTTTTGACTAACATACAGTGAAGCTATGTGTGGTAACGGTATCAAAATAGGTGTGAATTTATTTGTAATATCCACTTGTACTGATATCAAAATTGGATCATCATGAGTCTTTTACTTCAGAATTAATCAAACCACTTCCGTTGCCCAGCTGCTGAGTATTATCCGCACATCCTTTCTACAATGTAACAGTAACTTTAATTTCTAAAGCTACTTGCATTACATACCGATATATTTTCTCCCTTCTTGTTCGGGTATTTATCATCCTTCGTCTATTTATTCTGTTACTTTGCATATTTTGTAGTTTGATTCAAGGTCTATAGAAGATGCACCAGCCTTATGCACCAACCATCAAAACTAGTGTTTTGCTTCCTTACTTAATCTCATTGTCTGCCTCCAAGTGTTTTCCAGCTGTTATTCAGAATAACTGGATAAATACGTTATTACAGGGGCTCAACGTATCAAGGAATATTATCACTTGGTGCTTAAGCAGTAGACATAAACTAACAGTTTAAGAAATGCAGAACAAACTGTTATCAAAATTAAGATATTGCGGAGATATGATAACAAAAAAGCCTACTGAAGCTAAAAAATTAGACCACATGAGCGAGCAGAAGCTTTGTCTCCTCCAAACTTTGCCATTTGTCATTACTATGTATGCTATTTGATCCATGGTAAATATCAAACTGTATAGTATTCTGAAAACCAAAGCAATAAAAAAAATAAAGTAAATGTTTTGCACTAAGGTCACTTCAAATATAGTCCACTGATTTTGAAGTAAACCACGGCTTCCAGTTACGAAATACAGTGATATTTTTTGATGTGATTATGAACTTCACTTAGCTGGAGTTTCGTTATCAATAAAAAAGTGAAACTTGGTAATTTCACTCCGAAAACAAACTACACAATATTTCAAGGATATTCCTTGTTCACAAAAATTCTTTTCTTGTTAAGATGTTAACATATGAGGTGTTCTTCTTTGAATTTAATTACATTCTTTTCAGCTTATCTAAGTATGATCAAATGAAGTTTGGACTATCCGTTAAACGAAATCGTACAGCACGCATGGTCTGGAATGCAAAGTAAACCAGGATTCACTGGAAGAAGGGAACTTTCTTTAGGGTTGATACAAAAGCGTTGAGTTAATGACAGAAATCGTTTGCGTTTTAACTTCAAGTTTATTCATTCTGTTTATTACAAATGGTGGAGTCATACCAATAAGTCGATTATGAAGTACGGCATCAGTTAATAATGTACGTTCAGTAGTCACATTTATGAAATATTATTCAGAGCTCAATGAATCATTGATTAAAATCAATCAAATGTTCAGTATAGAACATTTTGGGAAGATAAACATCAGAGCAGTGATTATATGTTTAGAAAATGTTTCGTCGAAACGAATATAATATTTGACTGGTTTATAAACCGGTTAAGAATACTGGAATGCCCGTTCATTTCACTGTACTCCTTTAAGTGTATTTAAGCATTAAACTTTGAATTGCTTTACATTATTAGGCTTAAGAAAGTTGTTTAAAATGAATACCTTAGTGTTTAGGCTTCTTCCACTGAAACGAGTAAGAAATTTAAAATAACATGAATTTTGTACTTTAAAATTGTTTGAATACTTCTATACTTAGTATGATTTAAAAGTTCCCTTCTTTCATTTTGACCGATAAGACTACTAATAACATGTCACCTGATCACAAACTGATTTCAATGGATGCTATGGTTACAAAAGAGTATACTAAACTTTTTTAGCATACAAAGCAGTTATAAAGTGCAAAAATAAGTTTATATTTCTTTTGGAGACAAATTTTCTATGATGAAATCCCATTAAAATTCAGGAAAGATATTTATAACAGTTATTATTCGTGCATTCTTTCATGTTTCTCGAAATACTTTGCGGGCTTGAGTCCATTTGATGAAGTTTGGAATTAAAACGCGGACTGGTTGAAAATATCATCACAAATACGTTTTTTGAAAGGTATACACACAGAGGTGAAACCCTGAGAACAGTGAGTTGCTTCCAGTCAACCAAAAGAAAGTCTTTAACTTTAGCATGAAACCTGTATGAATTTATTAGCAAGAAGAGTTCAAAGACTGGGAGAAATTCACATTGTCTGACAGGTGCTTCTTCGTTTAAGTCTTTCGCTTTAACACTGAGTGATCAGAAATAGTGACTTTAAGGCAACGTTGTTTTCTTTAAGACAGCAGATTAGCATTACTGATGGGTACCAACAACCTATAAACCTAGACCAAAGCTGTCACAATGGCCAACTCAATCGATAAATGTGAATTTATTTCACAACAGTTTTTTATCCATCAACTTAGTGGTCGAACGGTAAACTTAGTCGAATTATCAATCTTAACACTTAAGAGCTGACAGATACAGTTCTCACTCAATGGTCAGTGGTCTAAATACTTCTTTTTCAGATCTGAATACTTATTATTCTTAGTAATTTATTCAGGGAATAGATATCAAAATAAAATGGAAGCAGCTGGGCGGTAAATATAAATGTTTCATTGGAAGTTTCCAGCTCTCAGATGAAACATTCAGATTATTTGTTTAATGCACATCACTCATGTTACGATAAATAACAAGGCACTGAAGGCTGATGGAAGTTTTCTAATACTTCTATAATTAGAATTTATCCTTGTTGTTCACTGATGCGTTTGAGAGATGCATCATATTTTTTCTCGCATCTTTTATTTGTCACTTAAAAACAGATGAAATTTATTCAGATGAACAATGCCATCAAAATATCAGCCATCAAAGGTTTTTTATTTGGATTTTTCCAACTTTTAGCAGAGCCGAACCTCTCTGGCATTTTCTCGAGTACTAAGTTCCGATATAAAATGTAACCGCAACCAACTACGTGGACATGCTAAGTCTGAATTAGTTACATGTGAAAGAGTGTGAAGAATATGTGTAGAATCTGAAGCCTCCTACGGTGTATTTCAGACTTCTGAGAAACAGAAAAACAAATAATCAGTGTCGCATAAAAGTGGAAATAAAAACTTGGATAATAAAATTAAGGTTAATTGCATCTTTTTGGGTTGCTGGCTAGGAATTCGTAAGAGAAATGTCTTGTAAGCAGTATGCTACTTTTTTAAATGTCATCAATTTTTGATATATCTCATGTTTCTTCGAAAAATGTTTATTAACCCTTTGTATCTTAATTTCACTATTATTCAACACAACTCTCATGAGTTGAATGTTTTGTAAAACAGCTTGTACGGCATACAAAAAATTCGTACATGAGGGACATAGAGAAATGCTTACTCAAGCACAAATATGCCTTCAATAGAAAATAAGTATTATGCATTCGATGTGGCGTTATTCTGGAAGAATTTAACGTGGAACTGTATACAAGTTGGAATTTATGCTAGCAAAAATTTAAAATGAAAATTTGAATGAAATAAGGTATTATGTTCATTTATAATATTCTATGGATCTTAGGGAATATAGAAGGCTAAACGTTTTCAATGTCCACACTGTTTAAGGTTTGCCTATATATGTTTCTACCTGAAATAATGTATTATCAGACTGAATCCTATCCTAAATCTTTGAAGTAAAATAACTTTTCAGTGATTGTTTTGTAGATAATTAATGACTTAACAGCGACTTTCATACTAAACTGATGTTGAAAATAAAACCGACGAAAACTGCCAATAAATGTACGGCTGTTTCATTTTAGTTTAAACAAAGTACGACCATAATCTCAGAGTGGCTGAAATTCAAATTCCTTAAGTCTGGCTCTAAGAACCTTACCGTCTTACCAGGGCCCTAGAACCTAACAGGAAGTAAATTCCAGTTTTAGTCATTTCGTGTTACTGCCGACAGTATCCTACAGTGAAAAATGTTGTTAAATCAGTCAACCCTTCATAACCGAATGAACAAAATTTATTCAAGAATAGTTATCGAATGACTTCTAGTACGACGTCTCACAGTATTAATGGAAACCCATAGTCTATGATTTCAGCCAATCTGGGGTAGAAAAGATGCTTATCTGTACCACTGAATGGTGTTCATGCTATTTCATCATCGTATAGTATTCACTTTCTACTGGGATTATTTACATGCTCAAATGTCACAGGAAATTTATGTCTGATTGATGATTTGCCCAAACTCATCTGCTTTTAGTATGCCAACTTCGACATATTAGGATGTTTTTTTTCATTAGATTTTTCTTTCTTAGTATCAGAACAATGATGTGAACAATAGAAATGCATTTTTTGTCCACTGTGTATTGTTTTCAGTGATAGATCTTGGGGATAACTACTGTGAATTCTGTCGTAGTAATTTAGGCTATCATGCTTACAGTAGAAATGAAATGAGTATAAACTGATCATTCAAGTGTTGTTCCGGCAGTGACAGAGTTGATAATGTCAAAAATAAACAACTATACCAAAACACAAAACATTTTCATTCCCTTTTTTTGCCAAATGACAAATTCCAGATCTTACAAGAAAAGGGGTTATCAGCTGAGAAAAAACAAATCGACCAGGATAACTTACAGAAAGAAGAAAGTCCTCAAGATACTAGTTCAGATCAAGTAGGACATCCAGAAAAGCAGCATGAATTGGACCCAGAATTATGTTTACACTTACCACTTGGCATGATCAGATACCCAACACCTAGAACAAGAAATTTTCTGGCAGCGCAGGCAAGTTGTGTTTGTGACAGTACGGCAAATTCAGTGGTGATTGGTACTTTCTTGGTTATGTGATACACAGATGACCTTTGTCTTTTGCATAAATTTGCAATAAACTAAAATGATGCTATGCATAAAGTTAACTAATTTTCTGATATAAGTGAGGGTTTAGGTATTGAAAAAATCTATACACAAATGCGATTCTGACATGGAGACGCGTAAGGAAGATTTTTTTTCACACAACTATCTCTTGTTGTTAATTAAGTGTTCTTCAGTGTAACGACTAAAATTAAGCGTACATTAATGACCATATTATGAATAATGGCCAATGTACTGTTTTCCAAAATCAGACAAATTACTATTCTCAATGTATAAGAAACTTTTTGTTTACTAATACTATTGATTAAGCAGCCGTCAAAGTTGTCACTTCATGAAGTTTTGTATAGAAAAAGTGGCAGGGTTGGGGTAACTATCTAGACTTTATTCATATATATATATAAACAGAGAGAGAGAGAAAGGGGCTGAGACTCTTTAGATATTTCATACGCTATAACTTAGCTTGATGAAGTGAGTGGTGGCAGAGTCTATGGATCAACAACAGTGTGACTGATTTTTAGTCACGTGACTCAGATTCCCATATCGCTGATTTTGGATGTTTAGGAGTCAGAGCAGCGAAATGCTAACCTTATTGCATGCATAACATATTTTTAATTCAATGTAGTTTCAAAAACTCATTGGATGAAAGATTTTATACCTAATTTCTCCATCATTCACTCTGTTTCCACTAGACAGCAACAGTAGCACGTGAGATACTTGCCGTAAAATAACTAGGACCTAAAGATACTCCTTTTGCAGAGAGTAATTTCAAACGATAGCTGATTTCCCATAGGTAGCTGACCATCCGATAATTAGTCAGCAGTACCACAAGTAGCTCACGTTGATGGATGTATATCAACGTGTTTTACATATACCGAAGTTCGAAGTGACATATGAGGGTACATGAAATAACCATATTTAGTTAAGTAGAGGAATTACGGGAGAATTTTTTGGCAAGAATTACGGGTGTCTTACTCATATTAAGCATTCTCAGATAACCATTGTAATAATGGACGCTCTTTCAATAACGTCTCTGTTAGTGGAACTATGTTGTCAGAGTACCTGCAGTCAATTTAAACATCTCGTGCTGAGTGATTAAATTATGAGACTTTAAATGGTAGGTTACATCCATTAGTATATCCAAAGTAAAGCCGAACACAAATTATTACGAGAAATAACAAGAGCGTACATTGGAGCTGTTTTCAATTCTATAATGGCTTATCACAAGCTCTGTTACAGCTACATGACGAATTTTTGACTAAGTATGAAACCAGAGAATGAAATAAGATTTTGTTGTTTGCAGTCACATTCTGCATTCCGAAAGTACGTGGATAATAAGGGTCTGGTCTCTTCATCTCACTTAGCAACCTGAAATCAACTTGGTTACTTCTCATTTTATCATTTTTGAGCACTCACTATGAATGAAACATTTGGAAGTCTAGGGTTATTGAAACCAAATGAATGAAGAAGATACTGATGTGACTATCACCATAGGATCGATCTCCTTCATTATGAATTGATATCATGAAAAAATTGGCGTAATTTTAAGTTAACCACCTTCGTGTATCATACAGTAGTAACCGTATACGTCAGTCTAACTAGTAATTCCTGACTAAATCCCACGATATCATTAGGTGAATATCATTGCATTTTTATTCCTCCTTCCCATAAGTGACTGTAGTTGCAAAACTTAGGCAAATATATCAAGTTTCTGCACATACTTCATTCTTTTTCTGACTTTCTCGAATGATGACTTATAGCCACACAGCACTTTAGTGGCTTTTGTTTGGCTGACCTCAGTTACCTGTTGTGCAAGTGATTTTTATTTTTAAGATTTCAGTTATGGCTTGCTAAAAGGAGATTATAGTGACAGTAAATTAGGAGAGGGCTATGAATGTTGTTAACTTAGGAGTTCTAAATATTTTCAGCCTATACTTTTACTGTGTTGAAGTTGCTTGTTTATACGACTTAATCTCACCATTCACCCTCAGTCAGAAGGTCCTGATAAGATTTACCCTTCACAATACCTAAATCACAGTCAGGCTTTGGTGTAAGGAAGATGAAACACTGACACTGACGTGTCTCTTAATTCTTCCAGATATGTGATTTCAAACAGCATAGGGATGAACAAAGCATAACATTTAGGTAAAATGTGTACTGTGGTATGCATTTTTAACCAAAAGATTTTTTTTCACCTCTGGTTTTGAAAAAGTGCTTACCGTCTACATGTAGTTAATGGTCATCACTTGAGATATTCCTAACAGTTTCATCCTCGATCAGTTGATTGTCTTACAAAAATCCATGCATCATACATCATGAAATGTTTACAATGTGACAGTAGCTGCAATGAGTTCTGTCTCTTACCAAACGATTTTCTTGGATAAAGAGAAAATTTTAAAAATGTTTTAAGGTGAGTAAAGCTCGACTCACTCAATCTAAGTTATTTATTTGATTACCACATCAAAGTGCTGTCTCTCTGTTAGCTTATATACTCGTGAAATTTAAAACCACCCACTTCTTGTTTTCAAGTAATAAACCTGATTGTAGGAATAGGAAGCAATGTTGCGTCACATATTTTCGTTTCTTGAAGAAGTATGTACTGTTAAAAAGACTACTGTAGTGGAACTAATAAGTAAAATAACGTGAGGAATTATCAAAAGTAGAAAATTGGATGTCCTCATGGAGAAATACTTAATACCAGAATAATAAAAAATGAACGAAATTTATTCGATTTTGAAGCTAAATGTGATTACTAGTCAAGACCTACGAGTTTCCGAGAATCAAGCAACGAAGATATCTTAAGGGATTTCAGTCAACATTGAGAACACTCCTAACCTCATGATGGCGATCAGTTAAGTTATCATGGCTCATGAAACATTCTTAGATGGGGTCCATATTTACAATTTCCTCACAATTTGAATATAATGTTTTAGAACATACGACGGAAGAAAAAGGTTGGCTTCAAAAAAATAACCTCGATCCACAGAAGCAGGTTAACTCCCAGATGACAACGTTACCTGAAGTAGAGAGATGAACAGTTTCAAGCTCGTAAATATTTATCAAAGCTCAGAGGCAGATAGTAGGCTTAAAATACATAAACTAGGCTAATAAGCAAAAGTTTTCAGGTGTAAATTTCAGCAGAATTTTATTATTATTTGTCCTCTGGGTTCCCAGTGGAACAATGGGCTTCAGTTACACGTCTCCATTTCACTCCGTTCTCTACAGTCTCGTCAACCTGGCACCACAACTGCCCACATGCTTTCATTTCCTCCTCACACCATCTCCTCCATGTCACCCTCACACGCCCATCTCGTCGTTTCCCCTTCGGATTCCACTCGAGGACTTGGGACGTGATGTCTCTGAATGGTCTTCTCAGTGAATGCCCAATCCAATACATCTCAACTTTCTTCTGTATATTTGCTCGACAATAGGTTCTTGGTTGGTTCGTTGCCAGCCACAGTTCCTTGTTGCTTATTCTCGTTATTCTGGCCATCTGACCCTCAATATTGAGTGAGCGTTGGCGGCAGCTGTTGATGAATGTCTCCAGGTTGTTGGAAATGCTCTCCGTGACGCGCCAAGTCTCTGAACCATCACATAGAACTACTGACTTGAAGTTGGTATTGAAAATCCGGATCTTGTTCATGCTTTATGCTGAAAGGAGTGCAGTAGATCTCCACACTGGTTTCAGGTTGATGAAGACCTGTCTTGCTTTCCAATCCTGGCTTTGACGTCCCTATCCGTTCCACCCCCTGTAGTTGGAACGATGCTGCCTAGGAAGGTGTGTCAAGGAGACAACTTGCTTAGGATTTCTCCCGTTGATGTTGGTTGGTGCTTGTTGTTGTTGGTTGGGAATCTTCATCACCTCTGTCTTCTCTACATCCACTTGAAGTCCCGTCTTCCCTCGCTGTCCTGCCTCGCCTCTTCTGCCAACTTATTGGTCTTCGCTTCTAGATCCTTGAGTTTGTTCGGTGTTAGACATAGAGACAAATCACCATCGGCGGCGATATCCAAATCTTCTTCTGGAGTCTTTTCATCGGTTCAACCAGAGTATGCCCATCATCTCGCTCCTCACAATTATCTGTTGCATGATCCAGTCGAGTCGACCACAATCGGGTAGATGATCAGTGGTAGTAGGCCGCAACCTTGTACTACTCCTGTCCCCTGTCTTCACTTCAAAGGCGTCGCTGTGCTTTCACTTGTGAATCACTTGGTGTGTAGATTCGTCATATGTGTGTTGACCGAGGTTGATAAAGACCAGTGGCACTCCGTAGTGTTGAAGCAGCTGCCTGCCAAATCATTTCGAGATCGATGCTGTCGAAGGCCTTTTTGAAAGTCGATAAAGTTGAGGTAGAGAGTTGACTGCCGTTCTCTGCTCTGTTCTATGATGAGGTGCTGCGTAGAGTGTCGGTGCAATTTGATATGCACATGATTTATGTTTCCTGAAGCTGGCCAGTCAGTCAGTCAGTCAGTCAGCCAGCCAGCCAGCCATCCTGTTCCTGTTGTAATTTTGAATCCAGCGCATCTTCTAGTCTCTCCAGGATGCTGCGGCATAATATTTTGCTTGGGGTGGAAAGGGATAGGAGCATGATTCCGCACCAGTTCTTGCTCAGTTTACGTCTCCCTTCTTTGGGATTTCGACAAGGTGATAGCCTATCTTCCAACCGGCAGGTAACTTTCCTTCCCTTCTTGCAAACTTTCTGCAGTAGTAGTGTGAGCATGTCCGCTGTTGTCTCTGTGTCGGTTTTCAGTGCTTCTGGTTGAATTCCATCTGGTGCTGTTGCTTTTCCGGATTTCAGTGACTTTATGGCGTTCAGGCATCACTTCTGCTTTTGTCGGACGGTTTGTGTTCACTGATAGTTCTGCTGCTGCGCTGCTGGTGATATTTGTGGACGAGTTGCAGGAGGCAGTTTCGGTGGCGGTTAATTCAAGAGCTTTTCCAAGTGGTCAGCTGGTCACTTCCATTGCTTCTCCACTTTGCT